GGGCACCAAATTTTTTGGGGCAGGGCACGTGAATTCTTTTTTTTTTTATAAATGACGTAAATGCAAGGTTAATGTGAAATTGTTTAAGTTGCTGTCGAAACAAAGTTCCAAACCTCAAATAAACCATCTAAAACAAGCTCGTCATCGTTTTGTATATTAAGTAAATTATATTTGAAAAGTAGATAACAATACTGACAAACCCGTTATTTACAAATGATCACCCGTTATTTACAACTGATTTTATTTTCAAATTCAATGAACGCTTTCCTATTTTCGAACGCTTTCAATCAGCCGTTTTGAATTAAATGTTAATGTATTTTTTTTTCTTTACTTAATATGGTTCCTCTTTTAAAGATAAAAATTATGATATATTAAAAATCTTGAAAGAAATCTTTTACGAACATTTGAAATACAATGTTGTGTAACAGCATATTGATGTATTAGTAATTTTTTATCAAATTCAGTGAAAATATAAGAAAAAGAAATAAAATTTTATGCAAAATTCTTAATAATTTAAAAAAATAAATAAACAAACTTGCAAAACATAATAATATTCGTAAAATGTAAGATAGGCACTTATGATTCTAAGGCAAAATAACCTAAGTCCAAGTTAGTTGTTTGATGTAAATTAAATATTAATGCAATATCTAAGTAATTTTGCCGAAAATTAAGAGATCTCTAAAAAAAGCCAGTCTTTTGAATGTACCTATAGGTTAATATTTTTATTTAAAAATTTCATATTTTTCTAAATATTTCATATTTAGTAATTTTTATTCGTTCTGCATATTTTTTGCCAGTTTTTGTGAAAAACTTTTAAAAATGAAGTAGATTTGCGTTGCATTTGAAATTTTTGTACTTCCTTTAATTAAATTTAGATTCCAGACTCTATATTTTGACACGAAGATATATTAAACATAAGTAAAACGTGTTTTCGGGTCAAATTTACAGTACATACATCTACACAAGCTTTAAATTGCGATTCAATTCACCAAAACACATAAAGTTCAACATAATTCACCATAAACATAAAAAAAATTAGAAAATATGAAGTTACGGTAAAATTCAGTTAATACCCATAACGTTGATATTATAATTAACCTTATAGGTGTACGTAAAATGAAATATTTATGGCATTTATCAAGAATTATATCAGGACAATAATTAAGTATTATACTTAATCAAAATTTCGAAAGAAAATTAGAAATTTATCAGCAGAACATATAACTACAGTATTGTCTAAATTTGTTAATAAAATTATAAAATATTTAGAGAATTAGTAAATTTTTCATTGGGAACTAATATAGGGCAAAGTAAACAGAATATTACAATATTATTTTTCAAAAAAAAAAACTTAACCTATAAATAAGAATGTGACAATTACTTATAATTAAAACTGGGGAAAAGAACCCTTGTTTACTTCGACCCTTTGAATAAATAGATGCCTACATTTCTATTTACAAATTCTAAGGATTCAATACCACATGTCAACTTCTCTCGCATATTGACATAATTGTAATCCGTTTACTCTGAATTTAAAAAAAAACACATACAAAAAGAGACATTCATTTATTTTATTACTACTTAGGCATTTTTAAGTAGGATTTACTACGAGTATACAAATGACTAATTAGTTATATACTTATACAAAGAAATGTCAAAATATTCCGATTGTGCAGGTAAGTATCTAATCAATGAATAAGCCATTTTTCTTTTAATAAGTATGTTCTTATCTAATTTTGCTCAGATTTTTTTTTTTTAATTTTATTAAATATTTATCTTTTCGTTATCTAATCTTTTTATTCTACCCAAAGAATATTTAATTGATGAAACTATGTAAGTAAGTATGTAGTTGATTTTTTGCAAAGCTTAGATAACCAACTTAATCAGTAATAAGTATCAAGCATTGAGTTAAAAATATTTAGGTAGGTATCTCCTCAAGGCTAATTAAGAATTTTCAAACAAATCACAACTGAAAATTACTTTTAGGAATTTCTTTGGCTCCTATGTTATAAAATGTTCCGCGTATTGTGCCGGGTGATTAAGGCTCGATTACGGTTTTTATTGAAGGTCCATCATCTATATATGAGGGTTAATCGGTATAGTGTCGGAATAATCAAGAAATGTACAAATACCAATGAATTGTCAGGTTCAAAGAGCATTCTTTATTCAAACGTTAAGCTTCTAAAACAAAAAAAAAAATAAAATCACCCATTATTTGAGTTTTTGTTAACAATGTTTGTAATCGATACGTTTTATAGTTATTATTTAAATAACGTTTTGATTAGTTCGTAGTTTTAAAAATTGCAAAATTTAAAATTACAATTTTTAGTAAATCATTAATAATTTCCTTAAAATTATTTAACTCTTCAGGTACCTACCTAACTACCACGAACAAAAATTGAAAGCATTAAAATAATGCCTGATTGAAGTTGTTTTTAAAGTATTTTTTGAAATTAAAGAAAGTAATAAATTTACTAAATAGGTAGATACCCAAATTAAGTGAAAATCAAGAATTTGTTTTAAGATTTTTCTAAGTTTTAAGTCAAACTAAATTTGAATTAAATAGGTAGAATTTTTAAAATTCAAATTCCATAATACATTTTCTACAGATACCTATGACAAAATTTAAAATATTTTCTTTGTGGTATATAAATATGTACCTACCTATCTACTATGTACTTTAATCAATATATAGGTACTATATAACCTAAATTATTAAAAAATATAAAAATTTAAGTAGGTATTCCTCATGTCCCAATTTTTTTTATTATTATATTTAATAATGAAAATATAAATTCAAAAAACCACATTCCTCTATTTTATTAAACGAAATAAAATTCCTTTTCTGCAATAACATTATTATGTATTAAAGGTATATAACATTATTTACTTAAAAAACTTATATATAAAATTATTTAATCGGTGACGGTTCCTGACCTCAATAGGTAAGTAAATAACCCTAATATAAAATAAAACAATAACTAATTATATATTTTATATAAGTAGTTACATACGTACATATGTAACCTATCTTCTTATATATACAATTTTTGTACCTATCTATTTAATTTTTAGTTAGTTCTTTATAAATGATCAATGAATTGCATTGGTGTGATTCACCTGAATTTCAATTATTTGTTCAAATACATACATATAAACACGTTTATATACGTAATACATATACATGCATTCTATATAAAAGAAATACATATTATAATTATACAATTAAGTATTTAATTTTTTTAATATTAAAGTATTACATGACAAGCTAGTTTCATTCATATTTATTTTACAGATATGTAAGTATATAGGGTGATTATGTATATTGGCATATATACTTATATTGTAATTAAAAAAACCCCTTTCCAAAAATTAAAATTTGACCTACCTGTATGTTTTGTATGAGTTTTTTTTTCCTGTTTTTCTGTTCAACTTTAATTTTTTTTTTATTTTCCAAAAAAAATTATAGGCCAATTATATTATATCCATAGGTATTACAATTTTGTATGCATTTATGTACCTAGTTTACTTTTAATAAATTAAAAAAAGAAAAAATTGTTTCACTTTTTTTCCTTTACAAAGATTAAAATTGCATTTTTTTTATTTAAATTTATTGAAACATACACATATTTTTTTAATATACAATGCATACACACATATGTACATACTACAGATATAAATATGAGTACAGATATATATATATATTTATATTACATAGGCATGCCTTTAATATATGTATTTATATATATATATTAAATATAAACGGCTAGAGGTATGTACAGATGTGTATAAGTTATATATTTTTTTATTCACTTTACACTGCACTAGCAAATTATTCTTAAATTTTAATAAATATTCTAAATTTTATTTGTCATTTTTCATTTAATTACATTTTTTTTTCAATAATTTCTAAAAAAATATTCCTTTTGAATTAATTATTCAATTAAAAAGAATAACAACAAAAATAAATTACAAATAATTAAATTTAATCAAGTTTATTTCGAAATCGGTAATTGAACACCATCGACGAACAGCACATTCCACCGAAAGATTCAAAAGACTCAACACGAATGTCAAATATTTTATAATTTTGTGGAATTGGCATCAGAAATTCACCAAACATATTTCTTTTCTTTTTTTACACCCAATAAACATTTAAAACATTTTTGTTAAGGAATTCGGGTGGAATAAAAAATCACATATGTATGATGTTCATTCAACACATCACTTTTATGTTATACAATATGTCAATACTTGAAATGATTGAAAATTAAATTTTAGAAGACAAATATACAATCAATTAAAAATGTATTATTCGTATATGGGCCATTTTTTCAAATATTAGCTAAGACTTTAATTTTTCTTTTTTTCAAAAAGTTTTTCGTACAAAAAATGATTATAATAATACAAATTTAGAATTAATTAAAAATAAAGATCCAATATCAATATTGCACATTTCCATATTAGGTTGTGATGTCAGTTTAAAAATTCCCAAAACCTAGTAGTTACAGATTTTAATTTCAGATTCCATTATCATTCCAGTTGTTTTAGATTAAAATTTTAGCAGTAAAGTCATTAAATTTTCATATGAAATCTGTGCTTTATCGGATAATTTCAGTCTGCAACAGTCACTAGACTTTTTCAATAAATCCCAGATTTATAAACGGAACCTTATACATCTCTATATCATCTTAAATCTAAATTAAATTGAAATATAATATGTAGTCTGAAATCTGATATTAGAAATATTTTCCACTCAGGTAGAGCTCACAGAAAAGCTTACAGTATAACTTTCTGCAACGATATTATTATGCAAAAGAGTAACTCATAAGTTTTGTTTTTGTTTGCTGGGTTGATTTCTTGTATTTTTCAATTCAGCAGACGGCTGGAAATTGTGAGCAGTTTAATGAACATTGACATTGACAACCAGAAAGAAATCTAAAACAGTAAATGTCAAAAATAATTATTAAATAAAAAACAAAAAATGCTGTCAAGTCAAGTTTTACGCTACGCAGTCCTCCACAATCCTTTTAGAAGAACAGGTGTATAAAAGTTATCATTGAAATATTTTGTATATATCAATTTTTTCGGGGGAGAGAAATTTAACAAATGAAAAAATGAAATTCTCATTAGAAAATGTAAGTTAATTTATTTGCAATAAAAATATAAAAGTTTTATTAAAAAAAAAACAAATTTTGTAGTTGCAAAAAAATGTTCAAAGTGAATTTAATAAAATACGTGAAGCAATAAATGTACGTGAACAACTTTTATTGAGACAACTCGATGTTATTTGTAATTCAAATCAATCCTATCTCAATAAAAATAATATTGCCACCACAAACTCAATTTGCCCCACTCATGACCTAAATAAATCTAATGGAAATTATAACAATGGAAACAATGATATTGATGAAATAAAATTTATTTCCGATACTGAAGCTATTTTAAGTTTAATAAGAAATTTTGGAAAGTTCAACCTTGAAAATGTTAATGTTAACTTTACAAACTTACTTTATATTAACGAAGATGAACCTGAACACGATACCCCCACGATGGTTAAATGTTTAGAAAATGTAACAAAAATGACAAATATTACTATTACAACACCAAGTACTACAAATAGAACGATTAATGGTGTTGGTGTTGATGTTGATTATCATGACGAAAATATTGAAGTTACCAAATATTTAAATGATAATAACGAAAACGAAGAAAAGGTTGTTATAGATTTTTCTAATAATAGAAAATTTATAACAGAAAATGTATCAAATTTGAATGAATCTGTTATAAATATTACATTGAACGAGGCGAAGGAATTAATTGAAAAATCATCAAATGCTCTTCAACCAATGGAATTGGCAAAAAGTAAGTAAAATTTTATATCGGAAAAGGAAAAAGTTAAGCTAATAATCTTGATTTTGAATAGAAGTTTTTTATGTATTTCGCATTAAGCAGTTTTGAATTGTTTTACTTTTTTTTTTTGGTTTGCGTTTATCATTTTGGAAATATACCTAAGTATAAGACTAAAGAAGTTTTTTACACAAACATACAAAAAATTTATAATTATGAAAAACAAAAATACTTTTATTGTATTTCACACTATGAGCTAATTTAGTCTTAATGTCCTTTGTTTCATATATTTTAGACAAAGAAAGTACAACTACTTCAAGCGAGCGAACAAAATCAATAACACCAGTCAGTGGAAATCGTTCTATAATCCCATCGACAACTTCTATTAGTAATGTAACTAAAACGACTATAGAATCAAAAAAACAAAAAAAGTCACTTAAACTTAAACCAAAAATTACAATCAACAATTGTAATGGAGTAATTAATTTAAAAAATATTTCAAGTTTAACAATCAATTGTGCTAATAAGGATTTAATGAATGTTAATCAAACAGTATCTCAAAGTGAACCGATTAACGATGAAGACTCTATAGCTGAATCCCAACAAATTTATTCAGTTACAGAAAATGGTGAAAATTCTGAAAATGATGAACTAATATCAGAGGAATCAGAAAATAATACGACGTTAAATGGATCAAGTACCACAACAACAAAAGATAACGATAATTATGTTAACTGTGAATTTTATAATCGTTTAATTGCTGAGATCAAAAATACATTAAAGCAACAACAACATCAACATGCTAAAGCACATGCCCATGCACATTCAAGCAATGTTCATCACAGTACTGATGACGCTGAAAATAACAATTCAAATGATAATGAAAATAATAATTATATTGATCCAATACATGTTGAAGAACTTCAATTGAGCGCTGGAGAATCTTCAACTACATTAACTACATCAAATACAAATAATACTTCTAATACAACTAGAAATAGTTCAATAAAAAGCAAGAAACTATTGCTAAAAAATCTTGAAAATTTAAAAATAATTTTGGAGAAAAATGAAGATGATTCATCAAATAATAATGAAGGCGGTAGTAATAAACAACCAGGACGTCCAGTACAAATTGAACAGTGGCTAGCAGAAATTATATCTGAAACTGAAATTGAACCTATGTTAAATTCAGAAATTTTAGAATTAAGCAAAATACAAAGTGGTACACTAACAAGTACTTGTGGTAAAAGTAATGCATCGACGAGTTAAATTAATTATTGAAATTTAAATACATAATGAAATCTGAAATTAAGTATGGTAAGTATGTAATATTGTTTTTATGTACTTCATACTGGTACTATAAAGATTTAAAGGTGACTTTAGGTACACATTTAACATTTAATAAAATCAAATTCACATAAAAAATATAAAAAAGAAAAAACTACATATTATTTCAGACTTTATTCTTTTTGAATACGTGTAAACAATCATTCCAAAAAGAAAAACGAAATTTGGAATTAAGTTATTTTATTTTAATGAAAATAATCGGTTTTTCTTTTTTTTCTTAAGACTTCCAAAAAAAATAGTCATAGCTTTTTAAAATACATTCAAATTTTTTAATTACGTTTGACTAAAAATTTATATTATAATATAATATAATGTCCAAAAATTAAGACTTGAAATATAAACTTTGTTCATTTTCAATTTATTATTAAATATTTTATTACCTTAAGACTAAATTTTACAAAAGAAAAATAGATAAAATAAGTGAAATACATGTTATGTATGCATGGATTTTATTAAAATAAGCGAGTAAAATAAAGTTCTATTTTTGTTAATTACTATATTTAATAATATTATGTGTATCTGCAGTTGCAGGATTATTACATATGATGATTTAAAATATAACCGTGTCATTTTATTTACAAATAAGACAGCTTTTGAATTTCTAAGGCGGATAACTTATGAGTTAATGAAAAAATTTATTTAAATAACTATTAATGGACTTAAGTTTTTTTTGTATAAAATTGTCTAAATGATCATTTATTATGTAGAATTGGGAATATAACCATTTCTTATAAAATTAGTCAACATTTGAAACATAATCAAGTAACAATTCTTATGAATTTAAAAAAAAAGAAAACTACTGAATATGTAAGTAATTTAAAAATAAAATGTATTAATTGTCTTTACGTAAAAATATTTTTAATAAAGTATTTTTCTTTTTCTAAAGTAAAGAAAACGAATAAAATATTAATATTATAAACATCGAAATTTAAACTTAAAAAAATAACAAGGAAAGTAAAAAAAATTTATAGCATGAAATAAAAGGAACAGAATCAACAAGATACAAAAGAAAAGGAGTAAAATAAATCGAAGGATAATATCACACATTCTTAATGAATTTCTAATTTCACATCCTCATTCATACTTTAGAAATACTTTAAACTTAAATAGACTCAAATACCAAAGCATAAATTTTTAACATATTTAGCAAAAATTTTCTATTAGCAGATTCTAATTACAAAATATGTTTATTTATAAAATGTTATTGTCAATAATATAGAAAAATTTATTTTTTATTGCAAATTTACTATTAGAGTGGTAGAACATTTAATAAAAACTCAATTTATTTTGTTGTTATAAAAAATATAAAAATAAATTTTTAAAAGAAAATAAAAAAAAAGAACACATTTTTATCATCACATCAATTAAAACTCCAATTTTATATTTTAAGAATAAGAATTACTAATCAAACATTTTTGTTAATAGAAATTGTTTTACATTTTGTAACACTAGTTAATTGCAAAATAAAAATCAAAACGTTCTTAATTAAAAAGTGTGTGTAAAAATTCTTATGTACTATAAAAAAAAATTATAAAAAAAAAATAAAATATTTATGTTATTCTCTAAGCAAAAAAAAATCAATATATTTCAAGAAATAAAAAAATAATCACTAAATATATATTTTTTTTTACTTGTTTTACTTTCCGGACCCTTAAATATTTCAGAGTTATTAAGGACCTATCGTGGTATGTCACTTATGTGTCATATAAGTTTATAGTACACCAAATTTCAGTTTATTCATCATTCAAAATATAATTCACATTGAAGTAAATGTAAAATACATTCTTCACACTTAGTGTTGTTTTTTCAAATATACCAGGATAGAAGAATCTTTATAAAATTTTTAAATATTTTTCATTTAATTAAACATTTCTACCCAAAATACTATTTGGTTGTAAGAACTGACAGTTCTCTGGTATTTCATTTTGTCCAATATCAAACATAATCATAGTGGGATTTGGAACCAACAAAATTCTAATGTAATACATGGGAATACACTTATGAAAACAGCTTAATTTCAAGCTCAAATACAATGTTTTGTATATTGTTATAACCATGTGTTCTGGTTCAGCACTCAACCTAAAATTCAAATCTCAGTAATTCATAATAAAAAATTCTTTTGAGGATTTACATAATAACTTTGTAGATATTTTTTCATAAATAAAACAGAAACTATCATTTTATTTAAAACATGCATTTTATTTATCATTTGAATTAAAATTTTTTGAATTCATTTTGTAACTTAAAATTATAAATAAAACCAAAAAACTGAAAATACTTTTTTTTTCTGCTTTTTTTACAATAATTATAGAATCTTAAACTTAATAAAAAAAAAACACATTCAACTATTTTAAGGAACACAGAATTTGTTATTACTAAAATAATATTATTTTTTTCATTTTACTAAATTAAATTTTAACAAAACTAATAATTAATTTTCTATTCTTACTCAAAATAAATCGAAAAAAAAAAAAAAAATAATAAGAAATTAAAAAAAACAATACTAGGATATCATCAAATGATATAAGCTCCAACAATAATTTAAAAATTTAAATTTCTCGATTCGATCAACATTTGGAAGCAAACTTTTTAAAATAAATTTGTCTGTTTTATTTATATATGACATTTTTGTAGTGTCACAGTTACATGAACAATAATTTTTTATATCCATTTGAGATGGTCATGCCAAACTGACTTGATAGAATACCCATTCTTCCATAAACGACGGTACAAATGCTTTTGCTGTCGTAAATTTAACTGGTGGTTTCAATAATTTCAATTGATCTTCATACATTCGTAATGATTCAGGACAGCTACTACCATTACCATGAGTTAAAAATTTTCCATCTGGTTTTAATATTTTAAAAGAATGCTCCAAAATTGATCGTATAAAATCCCATATTTCACCAGTTGGTGTTTCTGATATTGGAATATCAGTTAAATCACCAAAAACATAATCAAATTTACGTTCTTGTTGTATAAAACGTTTCATGTAATCCATACAATCACCAACAATTATTTCATAATTATCACCTTTACGTTTTTCAAGTACATCACCGCATATCGAATTCATATATTTATTACATGCTTGCATTACCAATTCATCAATTTCCAACATAACAACATATTTTGGTTCCTCTTTAAGTAATTCATAAAGTAATGCTCCATCACCGCCACCAAGAATACATATTTCTTTTCCCTTATAATTTTCAATGCCTCGTTGCATTAAAGTTTCGGTGTAAATTAGATCTACATCAGCAATATCTAAAATTAGTAAAAAAAATTAATTAATATTTTATATTGTAAAAATAAGTATGGCAGGTATTTACAAATGTTTTATTAATTGTATGTATATATATGTAATAATGAAATCATAAACATGACTACATTTGTTTGATAATATTCATTTGAATACAAGATTCTTAAGGTGCTATCCTAAAATTCTAAATGAGGGGTGTGAAATTTTTCCATTCGTTTTATTAAATTGAAAGTGTGAGTTAGGCTCAATTTGATGGTTTGTTTTGATTTATTGAATGTTTTTTCAAATTTTATTTACACTTTGATGGCAATATTTAAACTGTACAAAAAAATTAATTAAGAAATTTTGGAATAATTACTCGTAAACTTTTAATAGTCTCTACCATATGACTTATTTATACAATTTATAAACAATAATTTTTTTTTATTTTTATCATACATAATGAATTTTCTCATAAATAAAATCGAGCAATTGGATTTTTCCCATCCTACACCCCTACGATGTAAGGCGTACGATGATAGTATAAAAATAATTTTAACAAATATTTCAGATATTTAACTAACAAGTTTCCCAAACATAATCATAATAAAAATATTCTTTTATTTTCGTGTTTAATAGTATTGTTAACAGTTTATGTTACATTAATAATTTAATCGATTAATGTTATGTTAAAAACAAATAAGAACATGTAAAATATAGGGTTGATATAAAAAAAAATGGTTTTTACACGAAAATATGATGTAGTTAAAGAACAAGTTTTATATTTTTATATAATCAGGTCAAATTGGTAAAAAAAAAAAAAAGTCTAGTAATTAAAGCAAATACACATTAGTATACTTTTCTCTTGTATGATAAACTACTGAAAAGTAAACAATAAAAAACAGACAGAATCGAAAATAAATTTGTCTTCTTTGGTTGGAAGGCAATATAGTCTTAATGCCTTTCATAAGCACATAATCTATCTTTAATTTTTTAAAAGTCTCAAGTAATTTTACGTTTTACATCTCAATTTCTCTAGCACAGATCAAAATTTTATCATATTTTAAAACGCAATCTAGTCTATATGGACCCGCATTTTTGTTTTTTTTTTGACAAATTTTGATTCCTGGATTTGAAATCTAAATAATGGTCCGATTTGAGGTCTTAGCCTTAGTAAATAGAACCCGAACTTGATAAAGAACTCCTTAAAATTTGTGTTATAAAATTAGATTATTAGTAAATATTATTTAATATTAAAAATTATACTTACTTTGAAGTTCATCAAGTATCAACATATTTCCCAATGTCTTTGAATGAACAATTTGAATTTTTTGATATTCAGAGCGTTCCTCGAACAAAATTTTATCAATATCATATTCAATGATACGTTCATCTGGAACATTTTTAATAACAAAAGAAAACAAAAAAAAAAAAAAAGGAAAAATACAAAAATTATTTTAAAATTTATTTAAGAATATTTTTTTTTTTTAATTTTCATAAAATTTTCATTAATTTTTCAATATTATTGCTTTAATTTTTCGTTTATTTCACGGAAAAAATCTTTTCCTCTTAAAAATAAATGAAAATTTTAGAAAATTATTTTAATTTTTATTTAAAAATTTTAAAGAAAGTTAATATTATTTTTTTTTTAATGGATATTTTACAAAAATTAAGCTTTAATAATTTTTAATATGTAATCAAATCTATAGCAATAAAATTAATACCAATGGTTAATTTCAACATTCCATAAAATATGGGAAAAAAAACTCTTGTGAATGATAAAAAATTTTTATATGCTTGTTCCCCATTTAAAATTTTGTAATTTTTTAATTATTTAAACAATGTTTTACAAATTAATTATTTTGATCATAAAATCTTAATTTTAATATTATGAATATTGTTAATAATTTTTTTTAATTGCATTATGAATTTCGTATTAAAATCAATTTTCAATACTTTTATTGGAAATTCTAAATAAAAATTTTACCCAAGTAAAATGCATAACAAGAGGGGTTATGCGGAAAGCCCTCTATCCAACATAAGAAACATTTTAAATTATTTTGTAATTAATAGAAAAAACCCTACATATATCTATAATAATTTGGAAAACGTAGTATTTTATTTACCTTCTTTCAATTTACGATATACAATTTAAATATTTGTAATGAATATTATTACAAATTATTTCAAAAACTTTTGAATTGTGGAATTGAGGGTTTTCCTCATGAGCCTTTGATAATGTATAGTTGTTATTTTCTATATTTAATAATTAATATGTAAATGATTTTTGTTTTACATGAAGAAATAAATAATGCACACCGCAGTCATGATTCAATGTGGTCAAAAGATTGTTATAATAGAATAATTTAAGCAAATATTAAATGGTACCAATCATTTTTTTTAAATTATGAAACCGAGTATATGTGTGAGTATTAATTTTATCATTTTCCCACTTATAGAATGTGTGACACTTAATAATTGAATGATTAAACAAATTATGCTTATATTTTCTTATTTAATTAAGAATTGGAAATTATTTCAATTTTATTTTTTGAAATAACCCTAGTTAATGCATTGTGTATTATATAATTTATAGTGATAAACAGAAGACAATTTTTGTAATTATACAATAGAACTAATTTTTTTGAGTGGCGCTGTTTTAAATAAAAAAAAAAACTTATTGCTCAATAGCGACCCTATATCAATTAAGAGGGCTTCCAGGATCAACAATAAATTTAAAAATTTGAATCTGACTGACTGAAACTAAGAAAAATTTTAGAAAATTGAAAACTTTTGTTGAAATATTTTAATCTTTTAGAATTATTTGAAATATTTTTTAATTTTATTATGATTTTATTTAAAAAAAAAATAAAATTTGGCAAAATTACCTTAATCATAATAGTTTCGAAAATATTTAAAACATTTTAAGTACATACATACATATATTTATGTTTATATTTTTATATACATATAGAATTTTAAATTATAAAATATTTATAGTAAAATGATTAATTGAAATAAATCTTTTTCTAATTTTTAGCTTATAATTTTGGCTTCTATTTGAATTTTGAAATTTTTGTAAATTTTATTATTTACATGAAAATTGTGGCTATATACTCAATTATATGAATACAGTTCAATTGTCTAAATTAATATTGTCAGCTTTTGAAGGTCTACATACTATACAATTTGGAATTTATTTAAATTTATAGCATGTTTAAATATATTTTTTTTTGCTATATACATATTTGAATAATATTTATAAATGCATTATAATTTGACCTTTAAAAATTAAATATATAAATTTATCTTAGTATATATGTATGTATGAGTCTAATTCATTTTAAGTAATAAAATTCTATGGTTCTAGGAATAAAATAACTAAGTCGAAAAATAATTTGCTTTGCTTAATTTAAATTGTGTTCATGCTGATTAAGATTTAATTTTAATTTTCTGTTTTAATTAGATTTTTATTTTTTCAATGAATAATTTTACATATCTAACAAAATCAGATAAATTTTGGGCTTAGTATATAGAGATCAAACTTAAAAGAATTCAAATCGATTATGAATTTTTAAATTTTAAATAAAAATGAAGTAAATTCTTTACACTAGTGTCTTTAATTTTGAAATTAATTTTGGTAGATTTACGAAATTTAAATGAAATTTTATTTTGCAATAAAATGTAAAAAATCATTAACTTGTTAAGCGATTAGTTTTTCTTAGACAACTCGATTAAGTGTGCCGAATTAATTTCTAGCGAAGACGCGTATTTACGAAATTTTATTAAGAGGGAAATTTTCGTTTTTTGCTTAACTTTAAATTTCATAGCGAATGCAATTTTCTTTTTCGGGATGACGCACATATACGAAATTAACTAAAAAATGAACTTTTGAAATTGACGCATAAATGTACAGCATAATCTCTTAATAGGTTAAATTCGAATTAGATAGTTATTACTTGCGACCACAGAACTTTCTAATTTAAATATGATTTTTTTTAAAATAATTATTTTAAATTCACAATTAAGTGAGTAAATTGGCTTCGATAAAATTTTTCATTTAATTTTAAATAATTCATATTTGATTACATATTTTTTAATTAATTTCAAGTTGTTTTTTATACATTTTTATTTATACATATTTTTTTTTATTTTAGTAAAAATATATTTAAAAATTATAAAAAAATTAAAATTAAATTAATTAAAAATAAAATTTTTTTGATTACAGCAACTTAATTTTAAATTGATGCTTAAAACTAATAAAAAAATATTAATGGTTTGTACTTAAATAAAATATGAATATAAAAAAAAGAAATATTTCTAATATTAAATTAAATACAATTAAAAACTAAAATTATATTAATAAATTAAGGGAAGAATAGGGAAAATATTATTAAATTTTAAAATTATGTTTGAAATTAAAAACAAAGAAATATAAAATAAATATTTAGATAGAGAAATAGAAAAAAAATAAAATGTTTAAATAAAATTTTATCGAATTACCTGATGAGGGAAAATACCTAGGTAGATTGCCTCGTTTTATTGGCGGCAAAATTTGTCCATTTAAAACTTTTAGTTTCTTTGCCAAGGTATTTTCGAGTCGTTTTGATGTCTAATGTGATTTTTTTTTTTTTTATTTGATTTTTTTGATTTGAATTGTGATAAATTTAGAAGGATACATGAAATATAAATAAAATATGAAACAAAAGGAAAAGAAAATGTTTACAAAAAAAATTTTATGATTTAAAATGGTAAAATTTTAAATTTTGATTTTATTTTCAAATACATATACATAGGCTACATATTTAAAATTTCGAATTAAATTGACCAAAATTTTTTTTATATAATTGATTCCAATTTCGTTTTTTCGGAAAATTTACAAAAAATATTTTACAAGTACTAGCTATATTTAAAGAGTGATTTAAAATTTTTATTTAAATAAATTTAGCAATTTTATTTTAAAAAAGCTGCACGTATTTTTGACAAAAATGTTACAAAACAAATTATTTATTAAGATTAAAATTGTGGCAGTGTTCCGTATTGTCAAAAAATTTTGAAACCGCCTTGAAACCGTAATTAAATTCAAAACTAAACACAATGGAAATGCGTTGTCAAACAAAAACGAAGGTTTTTTGTTTACTTTGCATGATCCAAATTTGTATTTTTTGACATTGACATATCTTTTTAAATTGACACTATGAATACTATTATCATAATCCTTTAAATTTTCAGCCTATTGCTAATTTTTTACATTAAAGTTAAGGAAGGGAGCTTACAAAAAGCGTCCAGATACTCTGCGTTTCACAAACTTATTTTATACAATTCAGAATGTGTAACATTGTAAATATTTATTCAAATACAATATGGAACGTGATATATTACGGAATACTGCCTTTATTGTATAAGCTACATTAATTGAAATAAAATAGCGTAAATATTTATGAAAAATAAAACATTAATCATGGAAAATAATTAAAATTAGGATTGTAAAAATTAATAAAATTGATTAAAAATTTTTTTTGTGTTAATGAAAATTTCGATAATCTAATCATTTCTAATCATTTAATCAAAAAATAAATAAACATTATTTCTTATTTTATAAATTTTAATTATCAAACTGAAAAAAAATTATTATAAAATATTTACGTAATAGAAAAAAAAAAATTATTAATTCTAAGTATTCAGTCATCTTTAGTGTACTTATAGAATATGAAAATTTTATTATAAACGTGATTAAAATGAAATTTCCTTAACAAAAGTTAAAATTTTTGAATTAAATAAATTAAATACAATTTTTATCTAACAGGGCTTCCATATTGTCTCTGTATAATTCGAGATTAGAATTGGCTAACTAACAACTACCAATCAGTTATTTTTACTGTTTTTATTTTAAAATCATAAGACAACAATACAAATAATAAAAATTCTTATTGAGACTTAAGAAAACTCAGATTTTCATAAATTCTTCCATGGTTCTTTTAAAAATCGAGTTTGCTATAATTAGAAATTCATGAATTAAATCTTAAATTTTAACAAAATTTTATAATTGAAAATCACTCTTTATATACTACTACTAATTATTTAAGTAAATAAATTGTGATATAAAATATATATATATATATATATATATATATATATATATATATAAAAGTATTTATGTATTAAAAGTAAAACAATGCTACACTTATAAAATTGGGTAATTGGGTATGCTTTAATTTAAGTTCAAGGATTGCCAAATATTCTTCAAATTTAACTGTTGTTTTCCATTTTTTCTTTATTTTAAAAATATTTTATTTTTCCTCTTTTGATCTTCTTTGTCCAATTTAACACTAATTTATAAATTATCAAAAATTGTTATTTTAATTTAAATTTAAATTTAAAAAATTTCAACTTTAATTTAATCTTTAATAAAATAATAGAATTTAATTACGTATATTAATTTTTTTTATATTCAACAAATAAAAATAATTTTTTTTTAAATTTTGCTAAAAATATAAGCCAATACTTTTTTTTTTCAAACTGGCAAGCCTTAATTTTATTTGTTTAAATTTTTTTCTTATGTGATGAAAATACCTTTAATGTGAATTGCCAATTCTTAGTACAGAAGAAATTAAATAAAATACAAAATATTTCATAAATTTCAATAAATACAAAGCAATTGTAATTATAAAAAAAAATAAATTAATGATCTCAGAATAAAATTAGTTTAGTTTAAAAATTTTTTAATTAAAATCATGCTTCTTTATATTATTTCAAATAAATTAATAGAAATATTTTTTTATGCAAATTTTTGATTAATATTTTAGAATAAAATTGTGAACTGCAATATTTAAAAGTATATAATAATAATATTAAATGAATGATTTATTAACAGTGATTTCCAAATTTAATGAACAGAAAAAAAATCTTCCTTTGTAACAGGTTAAAGTGTAATAGTTAATTAGCGGCCCAAATTATTTGAATTTTACAATATTTCGAATTTCGATTTGAATACAATTCACAAGATAGCATAATATGAGAATATAAAATAAAAAAATAAAAATCTTTTGATGTTAATCACTAAGCCGTGGGTCAGCTAATTGCACTTTTTCTTAAAATAATTGCAATTGATACAAAATATCTTTAAAAATGTTAAGCTATGGTAAAACTTATTTGAAAATTACAAAAAAAAATTGTTTATCTAATTAGGTATTTGAAGATTTTAAATGTATTTATGTACATTATAATTTGTGGATTGAGTGATAAAACAAAAACCCTAGATTTACAAACTGATTTTCTTTAATTTTATGATTTATTTTAAAGATTATAACAATTAATTTTCATGCTTAAGGTTCTGCCCCATTAAAATCTTTCGTTCACATATTAAAAATTAATATTTTCTTAATTATTATTTTAAATTGGAAAATTTTGAATAAATTTTTAATAAAATGGTTGAATACGAAAAAATTTTGATTAATATTATATAAGAATATAAAATTAGATTGTGTTATAATAGAAAATTGTTATACTGTTGCATGTCAAAAAATACATTTTAAAAAAACATTAATTTTTTCAAATTAAAATTTTTTGTATAATTTTCTCATCTACTTGGTAGACTTGATTTTACATAATACTTGTTGATTATTAAGAACAAATTATGTGATAATATGCCATATAACAAAAAAGAAATCAAATTTTATTAAGCATTTTAATACAATATTAAGATGGACAAAATTAAAATGGATTTATGTTAAAAATAATAGTATGTATAATAGTTTTGAGACAAAGTTAAATTTTATAATACTTAATAAATTTCAGAAAACCGTGGTGTTTACAATATAACGAACAGCTAAATTTTGTGAATTAAGTATTTTATATTTATAGCGAAAATCAAAACACGAATATTTTCAAAAATAATTTTACATTAATTTTTTGTTATTTGTACAAATTTTAATTAAAAATAAACATAATTTTCACTTGATTTTAGTACATGCGTATGTTCTTATTGTATAGATGTTTGTATTCGATATAATGAACAATTCCGACATTATTATCGTTCGTTATATTAGAATACCACTGTATTCATTCTTCTTTTTTATGAATAATTCGAGCAAATTTAGATAATTATATTTAGATACAAAAAAAAAAAAATTTGTCTATAAAATCATTATTTGAATTTTACCGTTTAAAATTTAAATTTTATTCTTAAAAAATTAAATGGGAAATATTCAACAATTTCATTTCAAATTTAAATTTAATACGAGCTTGACAGAACCCACAAACAAAAATATATTAAATTTATAAAATATAACAAAAATACATTTTAATAAAAATAAAGAAAAAAAAAACAACAAATATGAAAAGCAATTTCACATTTTTTTTTTTAATTTTTTGGAAAATAATTATTTTTAATGACTGATGCACTTACCCTAAAAAAAACTAATTATTTAGTTTGATTATACTTATTGTTTTTACTAAAATTCTTTACAATTTAAAATGATAAAAAATTGATGATATTTAAAAAAACAATTTTAAGGTACAATATGAAATTAAACATAGAAATAAAGTTGAAAGAATTAAAAATCAACAAAAAAATAAAAAAAAAATTATATTAAAAACTGAAATACAAGGAAAAAAAAAATATAAGTAACCAAAATTACTGCTCTTTTTTTTTTTTTGCAAAATTAGATTTTTTTTTTAAATTTTTTTAATTTTTTTGTTTTCTTAAGAAATTTTCTGACCTGTACTAGTTAAGTAAACATCAATCACTGCACCCCTTTTAATTGGAGGTAAATATTTTGATCGAATTGAATTTAGTTTATTATGTATTAAAATTTCCATAGCTCTGATGTTCTGTAAAAATTTGTTTTATTTTGCTTTTTTCGTTTCCTTTTTTTTTTTTTTATTTTATTAAAATTAACAAAAAGAAGGATTATGAAGGACATTGAATGAATTCTTAAAGTAAAAACAAGATAAAAATTTTAATGGTAAAAGATGAAAAATTTCGTTTTTACATTTTTAATGATTTTTTTTTTTATTTTTGTTTTCTTCAAATTTATTGGTAAAATGGGAATTATAAGAATACATTAATTACTATCCTGGTTACTATTGAAGAAATAGGTTCTAATATTATCAAGACCTACTTCTGCAACAGTTTCTAATAATTCTATGATTTCAATAGAAAATCAAATGATATACCAAATTTGAACCGATTTGAAGTAGTTCGAAAAAAATTTTTTGATCTGATGGCCTTATACTATGTTAACCAGGACAGTGCATTAATAATTTTTAAAAATATTAATGTGTTAATGAAGAAAAAAAAAACTAATGCTTTATTTTGAAGACAAGCTTTCATCAAATCTGAATTTAAAATAATTTTTTTTCATATTAAAAACAAAATTATTTACATGCAATCAATACCATATTTGTTATTAAATAATTTTATTTAAAAAGGAAAGTTATTACTTAAGAATTTGTAAAAAACAAAAACCCAATACAAACTCGTAGAGTACGAGATTTAACATTGTTTTTGTAGAAATCAGAATTTTTTTTTAAATTTAAAACCTATTTAGGTATTCTAACATAAATTTAATTATTATCAATAATATTAATGTAAATAATTTTTTTATGACCTAACTTTGCAAAACATATTTTTAATATTTATTTTTTAAGACTATAGAAAATTAAATATACAAATTATTTTTTAAAATACTTCAATTTTTATGAAAAAAAAAAAACAGGTTTAACAAATTGTAAATTTGCCTATAAAATTGGTTTCATGAGAATTCATTTTTGATTTCTATTTAATTTTAGTAAAATAGTACTTTATGTCATTAGTAGAATCTTATAATTTAAAAATATTTTTAATTATAATACTTATTGTAAATTTTGTAGGAATCATTAAGTACAAAAGGTAAAATATAGCTAGAAAATTTATTATCATAATTATATTCTAAGTACAAATACGAAGAAATTATTTTATAAAATAGAATTCCTAATTAATTGCCAATATTAAATAGTAGTTACTTAATTAGTTATATCTACATAAATCTTATCGATCTATTAATAAATTTGAGTTTTAGAGTGGTATAAAAATATGAAATAATATGGAATATAATACAATATTTGTCGCTGATTCAATAATATACCGGGGAAAACACTTTCCTAAATTGAAATACTTAAATTTAATTAAAGTATTAAAGATTAAACGAGATACAAATCATAAAATTATATTCAAGTAAATTAACAAAAAAAAAAAAACAAAATACTTTTAATGTATAATAAATATTTAAATAAGTTATTTGAAAAAAAAAATATAACAAGAACTTTTCTGATTAAGGTATCTTAATATAAAAGTAAATAGTATTAGTGAAATATTTAATAAATATGAAAAAACAAAAAGCTTTTATTTATAATTCTTTATTCAAAATTTACATACAAAATCTCGGATTAATAAGAGAGAACCAAATAATGCTGTAAATTTTTAACTTTATATATACCTTAATTACAAAAACAAATAATATTTAGATTATGGGCATATACTTAAAATATAAGGGCATCATTCAATGTTCTATATGAATGAAAAGCTTCATGAATTAAGTATACATAATTCATACAAAATATTAATCTAATCATGCAGCAAATTAAACAATAACTTTACAATTTGTATTTTAAAAATTAAAAGATGAAAAATAAAAATTAAAATTTGGTATATTTAAAAACCTCTTTTAAATTAGTTAAGAATTATCAAAATACACGGATATATTAATTTTTTTTTAAAGTAGGTAGGTATTCAAAAATCAATGATTTTAAGAAAAATGAATGGCTTAAAATGGATGGTTTTCATAAATGAGGAAAGGTTTAGGAAAAAATATTTAAATTAACTTTTAAGAAATTAAAAAAAAAAAAAACAAATAACCATATAAGGTTTATTTTTAAAATTTTCTTAAAAGTTATGAAACTTTTTACAAAAATCAGAGAGAAGAAAATTTTATTACAATAATAAAATCTATTTTAAAATAGGCAGAACCGTATAGATATTTCAAACTATTTCATGTATATAAGGAGACGAATACCATCTTTTACAGATATGCATAAGTCCTTCTTTATCACATTTCCCACAGGAAAAAGGATCAGAATAAAAATAATATTCGAGTAATTTAATATTCGGATATCTAAGATTTATTTTAATACCGAACTAATCAATATTGAAATTTATACATACATACAAATATCAATGTATAACTAAAATTTCTAGTTTCAATACTATATTAACTAATAAGAGTACCCTAGGTAGAGGTATCTAATAGAATATCGAGAGACGGGCTCCTAATAGAAAAAGGTTTTATAATTATTTATATAATAGAAGCGATAAGTAAATATTCGAAATTGAAAATATATAGAAAATCAGAAAATCGTTAAATATAAAACGAAAATGGAAAATTAATTATCAGGTAAGTATAGGAAAGCAATATTTTTTGTTCTAGCGCATAATTAATATTTTGTTAGCACGTTATTCTTAAATTTTCAAGGTTTTTATGCGATAAAAATATAAAAAAAAAGTACTTATACCTACATAAATTTCTAATAAAGTTTTTCTTTTCTAACAAAAGTAAAGCAAAGCGGAAGTAAACTATTTTTGTATTTGGGAAATTATCACGCATAATCGTATTTTTAGAAAACAATAATAATTTATTAAATTTCATATTTTAAAATATTTGCATAATGGGAAAAGAAAACACCTATTAAATTCTTTCAATTACATATTCGATAATCAAAAATAAACGCGATGTTGAATCGATTTTATTTGAAATTTAAGAAAGATTTAATTCAGATGTAAACAAAAACAAAGTTTCACTAAAATCTCAATCATGTTACACTTATATTTGTGTAGCACATAATTCAATGAATCTATCTATCTGACTCTTCGTTGTTCAAGAAGTCATCAACATTAAAATCAAAATATTTTCTTTCTCAATATTTTTTAACTCACACAGATACGAAACACGTGCGCTTTATCATATTTTATAACTCGTTTTCTTTTTATTAAACTTATTAATATAGTTATAAAATTATTTATATATGTGCATAAATTGTACGAATATTTCTGCTTTTAGAAAGCTTTTTGCTTTGCTTTTATTTTAAAATTTTCCTGAAAAAAAAAATCAATAACCTAACTCAACGCTTTTGATTTTGTTTCGCCATTGACCTTCACTTTTCATTTAAAAAAAATTTTTTTTTTTTTGCCCTTTTCTTGAATTATATTATTTTGCCTATATATGTATGTATATTCATACATAATACCTATCTATTAAATTAAATCATATTTTCTTTTGCAAAATATTACAGCATTATAGAAAGAAAAAACAAAGATTTTGTAATATATTGTAATTCTGCTTGGCTATTTTTAGAACTTTCAAGATTTCTCTTCTAAATATCGTAGCAATTAATGTGTATTTATTGTAAGCACATTTATTGATTTTTCCAAATAACTTAAGGTATAAAATGAAAATTCTCCTTAATTACATCAAAATTAAGTTTGGATTCTTCAGCATCCTCAAGATAATATTCAATATTAATTGTTATTAATCCTTGGTTGTAGAATCGAATTGTAATTAAAATTTTATTTTCAGATAAAATCACAAAATATCCATCAACAGTATGCATGTCGTAAGTAAATTTTAAATCGGAAAAAATCCTTTCCAATTCAGATCTAATTAGTTTTACTGCATCAGCACGTAACGAATCATCTCCAATTCGGCTTGGATCAATTGTAAAATCGAATAAAACAGTGTTAGCCGACATTTTCAAAACAATTTGTTTTCTTTAAAAATTTCACTTTTTTTTTAATACCGACAAATTATCACTTTGAACTAGAGAAATTTTCTACTACCGCCTTTTCACGTAAATTTTTTTTTCAAGCAACCAAGGACAACTGTCAATGTGAATGTCATATGCTTTTTTTTTCTTTTGCAAATTGTTACCCAATAAACAAAAATACAATCGGTTAACCGTTTCAAAAATTAAGTTCTGAAATTGTTCTGAAATTGAAAATAACGTTTTTATTTAGTATTGCCATATTACATTTATGTTCATGTTCTACTATTCAACAATGAATTTTCTTTTGTCGCTCAAATTTTTTTTTTGCTTACGTATGTAATTTTGCACTTTTAGTGTAAATATATGAATCTGCGATTTGTACAGAATATACATGTAATAGATAAAATTCAAATGAAAAAAAATTTAAAAGTATAAAGAAAAATGTACTACGTTTCAAGTAAAGGTATTAATAAAATATTTCATGTTCGGAATTCAGCAATGCATTGGCGTGTGAACACAATTATTAAAACATTTTATAATATCTCTTCTATAGTTGCAAGCAGATACTTACAAGAAAATTTTAAATTAAGAAAATAATTTGAAATATTACTGATGTCTTACTGTCTGCTATTTTGAAAGACCGACAAAATTAATCACTTCTCTCAGTAAACGGTCGCTGTTTTTAAAACGTTGAAAAGGTCTTTCTAAAGAAATTTGTTTTATATGCGAGTACGGTCATACATGAAATTTGCCTGAAATGAATACGTTGCGTTAGTGACTGACATTGAATTTTATTGCTTAAAGCTTAAGTAAATGTTAATAAAATTATAAAATATTTGAAAATTGCAACATGAAAATTGGCAATGCTCAGAAAATTGTTAATATATAGAATAAAATAACCATAAACAATAAAGATAAGATAATACGTAATAAAATGAATTCTATCATTAATGAATTTTAAGAAATTAATAAAATATCAAAAATAAGAAAAATTTCCGATGTTCGAACTAAAAATAGAGAAAGCCGTAAATTTTATGTTCTGTTATGTTTTCAAAAAATTTCACTAAAAAAATTGTACAAATGGTCACTCTGAACTATAAAGTGAAGAAGAGAAGAAAGGTTACTTCCGAATGGCTTCATTTTAAAAATTTTTATTTGGTGGATAAAAGTACAAATTGTGTAATTAATTAATATTTATATAAAGGGAAAACTTGAATGAATTATGGCACAATGAAATTATGTGTGTACAAACATAAGATGTGAAAATTTATTGGAAAAAATAAAAATATTGCAAGAACGCGGGAGCTGCAATAAACTTAATAAATCGGACTGTATTACTTAATTGAGCTGGTTTTGGTTTGCTGATTGTCGTTACTGCTTTCATAATCAGAGTGAGAAGCTTATTATATATAGATACATTTACAAGCATGTATATATTTTAATTTTAGTTACATTTTTTGATAAATGGACTAAATATCTCTGTTTCTATACATATACATATATCTAAAACTTTCAACTATAATTTTTACATATTTTAGGAAACGGCCCGTGAAATGATAACGGTTTTAAAGTTTCAGAAGTTTATGTTAATTTTGTTAATATGTATATGTATGTACATACATATTTAAGAAAAAGCAAGTAGGTACCTACATACATACATACATTACCTACCTTAAAAAAAGCGATTTTGAGGTTAGTTAGAAATAATAAATAGGTTAAGAATTTACAACAGAAATGTTAAATTGCTTGCCTATTGTTAATGTAAAAGATTTTGAATCTTGTAATTAAAGATTCAATTCTTACTGTTATCTAATTAGCTAAGAGTGGATAAATTCAAAATACCATGAACATTTTGTATTCTCATCTAGGGTACACTATTTTTAAATATAATTGATGGATCTCTTCATTCCTGGTTTTTTAAGAATGCCAATGGCCCTTTTCAATATTTTCCTTTCCTTATATTTTATTTTTTTCCAGTATGTATTTTATTTGTGTAGGCTTAGAAATTATTTTAATGGCACGGTGTATTTATTAAGTGTTACAAATTAAAATTTACTTTACGCCCGAAAATGATGCATGTCTAAATATTAATTTCGGATATTGATTGTTAATAAGTTTATCAGTTGAAAACAGATTTAATTCACATTATTCCTATTATATAATTTTGATCAGAGATTTAATCCTGAAATGTTGGTAGGCATAGGTAGGTAGGTATTCAAAGGTAGGTAATCTAATAGGTAGGTAGGTATACAAAGAAAATAGGTTCTTTTTTTTTTTATAAAAAATTCATTTTATTTTTAGTGAAAATTAAGTATGTTTATAAAAAATTAATATAAATGTTAAAATTTACATTTAAAATGTGAATTTTTAATTCTAAGTCTTACAAACAATATTTTTGGTTTCTTAATTTAATTTTCCTAATGTTAATTAAATGTAAGTGTAAATATTGAATTAAAATAAAAAGAAAAATTTTATTATTGCACTTTTCGATTGCCCCTTACTTCTATTTAGAAATTCACAAACACAAACATTATTAATTTATTTATTACTAAGTAAATACATATAGTAAATAATATGTAGATACCTACTTAAAAAAGAAATCTTTGTATTTAAGGATGATGTATGATATGATGAGGTTCATGATGCAAATTTACATTGGCATAACTGGTGGCACCATGATGTTCAATGTGTTCGTGTTCATGTCCGTGTTCCTCTTCATGTCCATGCTGATATCCATACACTAAAAAGTGATTTTTTTATTACATAATTCTATTTCAATAAAATTATCATATTTTAGACTTTACCATGAGGGTGTTGAGCATGACCAACTCTTTTAACATGTGCACTAAAACCAGTATGTTTATCTGAACTGTATTCAACAACACGTTTTGTGCCATCAGGTTCATGAATTTCATATCCACCTGAAAAAAATTTTAAAATATGCATTTATTATAACTCTTTTTTTAAATTTTGTGTTTTTCTAGAAACATAAATTCTATATTTAGACGAACAACAAATTTTTGAGTTTAAACAGTGGACAATTTCAATTTGTCTTTAAGTTAAAAATTTGTGTCTTTTAAAATGCAATAGAAATGTAAAATTTTTATAATTTTACATTTTCAGAGTACAATGTAGAAAGTAAAATGTGTCAAGTTAAAAATAGACTTGGAAAGATTACATATTATCGTAATAATAGACTTACTAGAAATCATAAATTCGAAAAGCTTGGTTATTTCATTGGAAGAAATTCATTAGATTTTGCAATAATTTTTTAAGTCAAGAAATATGTACTTATTATTCATGTTATTAAATTCTAATACATAGCAAAAATTTTATTTAATGTATTTAATCCATTATAGTGAAGCTGCATATAGAACGTTTTTAAAAATTTTGATGTTGCATTTGAGAAATTATAAGGTTCCTAAGAGTTCTATAAAAATTTAAGTACGTACCAATAAACCATTTTTAAATGATTTTTTAATAGTTTAAGTATTTATTTTTAAATGTTTCTGGCAAGTATTTTTTATTTCCTTTTTAATAATTAAGGAAGTTTAAAAATGAATTTATTGATGTTCTTTTGATACACGAATTCCTTAAAATGCGGTTTACATAAAGGTTTTGATTTTTTCAACACGACTAATTGTCTTAATATTTATTTAGTTACTAACTTATTAATTCATTACATTTTATTTGAAATAAATTTGAAATAAATAAAATTAAATATTCAATAAAATCTTAAATGAATTTAATAGTAAAAAAATATTTCAAACGCTCTTTATTTAATTTTTTGTTTCCAAATTTTAATAACAATTTTGGCAATCGATAATTTAAAAAATTGGTAATTTAAAAAATAATTTAAATGCAAATTAATTTTCACTATATTCATAATCACAGTTTTATTTATATCTGTTATTTAGTTTATCTGTTGTAAATTGACTTTAGAAGTGTATTATATTTTGTTCCAATTACTTATCAAGATTTTTATATTTTTTACTAATTATAATCATACCTTTAACAATATCACCATCTCTTATTTCCCATTGATTTTTACTATCACCAGTGTGGGCATCATGCACACCATAATCAAATTTATATTTAGGATGTGCATGATAGTCATGATAATCATTATGATCAATATGCTCTTGATGATGTTCTCCAGCTTTAATTAATGTAAATATTGAAAGTAACATAAAAATTAAGAATAATCCGAAATTGAAACTTTGCATTTTTATATTCACTTTTTCTAATTAATTTTTAATTTAATATTTTTTATTTTTTTCTATATATAATTTTATTATTGTGTTTATATTTCTTTACTTTTATTAAAATATTTTTTTCTAATATTTTATTTTTTTAATTATTCAAAAATAAAATTTATTATTTGCTTTATTTAAATTTTTATATGCAATTATTATGAAAATTATCACAAAATTAAGGTTATTAGGTGATTATAATGTAAATAAAATAAAGGTAAATCAAAAAAAAAGAGAAAAAAAAATTAAAAATAGGTTTTAGATCTGGTTGATGCAGCACTTTAAGATCAACTGACATACCAATTCCTAATTTCCATGAGTTTATATATGCCGTGGTCTCTGTTAAATTTTAATATAAAATAATAATAATAATAAAAAAAAAGTTACAAATATTGTGTAAATAAAAAAGACAACTGTTTATAATACAGTTTTAGTAATAATATTTTAAGTGTATGTATATATAACGGTATATATACGCAATTAAAGTGGAAATTATTGCATTGGTAAATCTCTTACCTTCAAATTTGATCACCAAAAACCTCCATTTATTTATATATGTTAGTGCTTTTGTATACTTAATTATTTTTCTTATTATTATTACAAATAAGTTTTTTTGTTTTTTTTTTTGCAAGTATTTTTCACTTATCTTTGTTTCACTTTGATTGCAACATATGCACATTTTTAATACAGTAAAATCGTTAAAAGCGTTAATTTTAAATATAAAAAGTTAGAAAATTTTTATTTCTCTTTTGTTTTTTCTTTTTTTATAATTTTTATATTATGATTTTCCAATTTTATTGAATAATAATAACAGTGAGTGTATTAGATTTTGTTTTTTTGAAATTTTAGTACTAATTTTTTTATTTTTGGAATAGAAATGTTTTGATAATGTGAAAGGTTTGATTTTCTTATTTAATTTATAATAGTATAAGTTAAACATTTAATTACAATAGTTAATAATTTTAAAAAATAATGTGATAGTATTAGATGCTGCTTATTTTTTGAAATTTTGAACTAATTAATATAGTCCATTTTTTCTAAAATGTAGTTAAATATACAACAATTAGATATGGTTCAGAATTTTTTGTTTGAGCAAATTGTTAAACCAAAAGCATTAGAATATCCTTATTCATATACTTATTCTATCACAGCCGTTTTATTAAATTCTAGTATATCAGATAGCGAAAGCAAGCTATTTGAAAAAGTATATTATAAGTAAAAAATATAAGTATAGTTAATTGAATTTAAATAGTTAATTGAATATGCGATATGAATAAGATTGTGACTGTGACAAGAATTTGTTTTTGGAAATATTATTTTCCGAATTTGAATCTTTTATACAAGCAATATTGAAATTGTGTTTTGAATGAAAATAAGTAAATATTTTAATTAATTAAAAACTTTACAAAAAAAAATTCTAAAGCTAAAATTGAAAGTTTTAGTATTGATTATTGGGGCCAGGAATTAGTGTGTCGCATTGAAAAATAACGGTTCTAATAATGATAAGAGAGAAATTGCAAATTTTATGAAAACTAAACTCGAAAAGGAAAATGAGCCACGGAGCCAATTTCGAAATTGCAAAAAGGCCTTAATATGGCGCTAGATTTTTGATTTGAAAAATCTTCTTGCACTCGTAATTAGAATTTTTAAAATATAAAAGTTCATTATAAAATGCACTGGCTGTATTATACTGCCTGGATAGTAGCATAAATGTATGTAAAGAAGTTAATGAACTAATGCATTTTATTAAATATCTAATAATTTAAAAATTGTGTATGCCTATGCGCATAAATTTGTATACTTGTAATTTTACATTTTTCATGTACATAACTTGTTAGTATTTTTAAATAGGCTTAATAATATTAGTTTTAATATTAAAAAAACAAAAAAAATATATATATTATTTTTATTTATTGTTTCATTTTATTTTATAATTCAGGTTTATTTATTTTCATTATTTTTCTTATATCTGTAATTTTTCTTGTCAATTAAACAAGAATGGTTCACATCCGACAGATTAGATTACAAAAATAAACAGACTGTATGATGCATATCTATCTAGAGATGATAATAAAATTGGATACCAACTGATTTTTGTACAAATTGATGCTTTCGATATTGGTATATAAAGTGAAAAAACCCACAATACACGATGAATGATAAAAAAAAAAACAAAATAGAAAAACAAGACAAGACTAAGTTAGGTCTTCTTTGGATATTAAGTGAAATTTTTTCAGCTTTTATTTTCGCAATGTTGTTTTTATCTTTTGTTGTCTTGCAGCAATTTAAAGGAAAACTAGTAAAACTGCCCAAAAAAAAATTTTTTTTTTTTGTATATAATGTAAAATTGCAATGAGAGAAAAAAAATATTGATAGTAAATGCATTTGTATGTGCATACTTAAATAATATATAAAAAAAATAATGTAATGAGTTCAAATCATGACGAACTCATAATATTTATTATTAAATATTTGTTTAGTGACAAGTTTAGGGTCGAAATCTGTGTTGAACTAAGGTGAAATTTTAATGATTATAGCGGTTAAGTTATCTTGTAAGATTTTTATATTTTATGTATTTTATGTATGTACATTATGTAAATAATTATATGATATAAATTGTGTAACATTACCAGTTTCTTTAATGTTATTTATAGAAGACTATAAAATGCATTAGGTTTAATATACCTTATCAAAATAAAATATAGGAAAAATGGATTTTCAAATTCTATTTTGGTGAAATAGATCAATAACAAATGTAGGGTTATGTTATGCATGCGATAACAACATTCATGCGATATATTTATGTATGTACTTTTGAATGCCAATAATTTGTTTCAATTATTTGTGGATAATCGATATGAAATATTTTAAGTTTGTTAGAATAAATATATACATAGTTAAAACTGATTTTACATGGTAATGAATTGAGACATTGATTTTTCTGTTCGGAAAAATTATTTGAACTCTAAAATACAAATAGGTAATGCAAGTTAGTAATCGATAATGGAATAATTTTTTCAATATTTTACTAAAATTATTTTAAACTAAAAAATAATATTGATTCAAAACATAATTTTATAATAAAACTGTGTTATGTCGAGAAAGCTTATTTTGAGTGAATTGAATTTAAAGTTAAGGTCTAATTTGTTGCATTGTAAAGTAATTAAGTAAATTTAATTTATAAAAATTTCGAAAATGCTCTAATATGTAGAATTTAAAAATTATGGACTTAGGCAATTATTGTTTTTAATAACAGAACTATAAAACTATTGGTGACTTGCTACAGAATGAATCAGATTTCTTTTTGAAAATCAAATGATTCCTATTTCTTTACCAAAACAGCGTATCATAACACTCTATGTAATTTAATTTCAAAACAGGTCCTTCAGGATATTTTCAAAAGAAAAGTATTCGAAATTTTGGAAGCTATAACCAATTTCGTCTTTTATTTAATTACATTTTAAGTTAAAAAGAACTAAATTTTGGGAATTCAAAATTCGAAAATTTTAAATGCTTTTCCTAATTTACGAAAAAAATTGTCAAAAACGTAATATTTTCACTTTTATTTCAATCTGTATGTTAAAACTGTACACACCATTTAAATAAATTTTTATACCAATTAATTAAATAACTTTCGAGACATGAATTTCTGAACATATTACAGTATTATAGGATATTTTACAACTCGGAACAATCCATATTTGTAATTTTAGATTTGTTTTGTTTACCTGAATTACCTATATAGTAAGTTTAATTTATGCGTCAGTGATGCAGTTTTTTTTTCTATTGTGTGTCTAAGTATTCATTTTTATTGTATGTCTAGGCATTCATATGCATATGTACAAATGTAATTTATTTGAAACCAATGAAATGTTTCTAGTTTAGCATTACGAGTAAATATATGTGTATATCAATGTAAAGATTATATTACTACCTATAAATCGGAAGTAAATTAATAAGTTTATAATTAGGTATATTGGAAAAAATGTACATACACATTTTAAGAAATTTATTGTATTTATTTGTGTCTCTTGTTCTTAACACTCGGATTAGAAATGAAGATTTTAGTTTTTACTATATGAACAGCCTTTAATATTATTCTAATTGAATACTGCTTACATAATATTATTTTGATTTGACACTATAATTAGCTTAATAAATTTTTAATTTCATTTCGAGTCATGAATTTAGGCACATATGATACTGCTATGGATAGTGATTTAATTTGACAAGTGAGTGATGTAAGCTGCCTCTCTTGATTTAAAAGTTTTTAGATTATTCAATTGTGAAAATTAAATCAGATAAAAACAAGTTTGCTAACCTTTCTTGCTAGAATTCGATTTCTCAATTTTGAATATTTATTTTACATTTTTTTTTTAATTTTAGTTTTCCAAAAAAGTTTTATATAGCTACAAAATTCAAGAAAATATTGTAAGTAATTATTATATTTAATCATCTATTCGGAATATTTCAAAAGCATTTCAAAAGCAATAAAAATTTCAAAAATAATTTTACAAAAAATATTTTTGTAAATTTTTCATTAGAATTTCGGTTTCATGTATACAACCGAATAATAACGGTAGTTTTTAATAAATGCAAAAAAAAAAGTTTAGAAATAATTAAATAGAAAATTGGTCTAAATTGCTAAATTAAAATTCTTTACTTTCGAAAAATAAAAAATTTTAATAGCAACGATTTCTAAGCGCAATTGTCTAGCGCACAATTTAAATAGTTTTGCAGTATATATTGGCAATTTTGAATATTTTGTAAATTTCGTGCACCTGTAAGAATATGAAACCAGGCTTAGAGAATACAATCTATACAATTTTATTTATACAACTATAAAATAGTTGTGATTTAAAAATTTAGAGTCTAATACTTAAAGTTTTTGGGTGGCATAAAAGTTTGCTGTACGAAATTTGTGAAAATCAATAAAATTAATGAACTTATTTGAATAATTTTAATTATTTTAAATAGTATGAACG